CTTTTGGTTAGAAAGTAAGCATGAATATTATAAGAGGAACTAGTTTTAGAAGTATGTGTGTGAGGTACAGCCCAGTATTGCTGCCAGCAGTCTGGAGGAGTTCCCTTCCTATTGGAGAGGACTAGTCAGGGCAGCTGGTTGACCCTTGACCGTGAGGCACAAAAGCTAAGCCAGAGTGAAGAAGTTAGTGAATGTGTTTATTAAGATTAGGAGACTGTGTTTGTAGGTGTGGGGGGAGAAATTGAGAGAGACAGAGAGAAATGTTGGCAAATTACAGCATACAACAAAGACAGGTGTAGGCTCTGGAAGACAATGTTCCCAGGTGCCTTCCCAGCGTGTGTGTATGGATACATGATTCATGGCTTCTCAGAAGCCTATAATTTAAAGATTGGGTGTTTAAAAATTAAGTAATACACACATATATGAGCTGCTTACTTATTTGCTTAGTTTTGTTTTTTTGTTTTTTGTTTTCTTTGTTTTGGTTTTTGAAGACAGGGTCTCTCTGTGGCTTTGGAACTAGCTCTTGTAGACCAGGCTGGCCTCAAACTCACAGAGATCTGCTTGCCTCTGCCCCCCCAAGTGCTGGGATTAAAGAGTGTACCGCCACTACCTGGCGTATTTATTTCCTCTTAAAGAGTATCCTTCTGTAAATAAAGTTCTGAAAACATACACTGTCTGTTGTGGCATCTGTGGCCTTCTCAATTGTGTTGATGTTTCCTGTCAGTCACCAGGAAAGACAAAGTAGATCCTAGCATAAGTGTTTCTTTCCCTTCGTAGTCCTTAATGTTCCATCTCCCCCTTGCTGCCTGTCTACCTGTGTCTATTCCCTGCATGTTACCCATTCTTCCTAGCAAGCTTTGAACATGTGTCACTGCTTTCTGACCTGCTGCACTTATATGTTCTGGGTCACAGGGCAAGTTTCTTTGCATAGTTACATGCAAATATAAAAATTGTGATGAAGTGTTGCTGGGTCCTAAAGGCTTCCTCAGGGGAGGGGGTGATAAGGGGCGTTGTCAACAACACAGACACCAAGAGTCAGATGAAAGGAAAAACAGGAGACTCATTAATTTAGCAATGGGGGGAACCTTATATATGAAGAGACCAGACCCTTACCCAGATCCCTGTTAGGAGTAGTTTTTCCTGTAGCAAGTCTGGTCCCACCGCCACACCAGCCCCAAATAACACACAGAGACCTTGTATTAGGTATAAAGCTGTTTCTTTTATCTGGTAAACAACAACATTGCTAAAATGAAATCCATAGCTGTATTAGCTGCGGTCTATCCAAGATGGTGGCGGGTACTTTTACTGCCAGAACTGAGAGCTGTGCTCACTGCCTTGGTCTCTGCTACCATCCAGCAGCATGCTGCCAGCTTAGAGATGTGGTCACTGCCATTGCCAGCTTTTTTTTTTTTTTTTTTTTTTTTTTTTTGGCTGCTTATACTGAGTCAGGAAACCTCCCTTAAAGGAATCCCACAAATCTCTGCTTGTCTCTAGCAAAACAGAATCCACCGAGAAAAAATGCTATTACCAAGAAGCCTTGCTTATCTCTGTTCTTTTGTTTCTAAAACCATTTTTTAAGCTTTTGTTAAGTTTTAAGTGTAACTTCTTATTAGCCACATTGAAGGCACCAATATGTTAGGAATAGTTTTTTCCCTGTAGCAAGTCTGGTCCCACTGCCACACCAGCCCCAAATAACACACAGACACACTGTATTAGATATAAAGGTGGTGGCCAGTTTCTGATGTTTCTTATCAGCTGGTTCTGTCTTAATGATTAACCCATTTCTATTAACTATTTCCACATGGTCTCATCTTACTGGAGAGAAGGGCTGGTGTTCTCTCCGTCCTCAGTCCTCCATCTTGGAATTCCTCCCTACTACTTCCTCTCTCCCTCCTCGTCTCCTATTCCCGCCTATCTTGCTTTCCTATTGCCCAACAGTTCTTTATTCATTAACTAATATGAGAAACATATTTACAGAATGACATCTCCCATCAGCTCCCTGCTTTAGCAGCCTTGACAGGCTGCAGAAAAGACCCAGCAAGATGTAGATCTCTGATTCCGCACCTGTTGCTGAGTTTCTGGTTTTCTGACCTTGCCAGACCTGCCCTGGTCATTAAGAGGTCAGATAACCTCCATGTGACAAGGAAAACAATCAGAAGTTAGCTGGCAGCTCTGGATGTGCTTTATGGTAATAGTGGCATACAGAACATAGCAACCACCCTGGGAGGGCCTTCAGGCCATAGCAACCAGGTAACTAATCAGCACAGAACAGGTTGCCCAAGCCCAGAAGTGATCCTGAGACTGCTGTGAACCCCTAGAAACTCTTCTTGCTCACCCCAATAAATTCACTGCCTCTTGGGACCTTCAGGTCCTTCTTGTCCTACCTGCTGTGTCGTTAAATAATAAAAGATTCTTACTTTTGCATCAGAATCTTGGTGATTTGGGGATTCAGAATTTGGGCAAAACAATATATTCTCCCAGCACCCAGGCAATCTGATCAATAGCCTGCCCTCATTGGCTAGGCACAATCTGGACCTCTGACAGTGCCAGGCAGACTCCAGGTTGGTTCATCTCTTGGCCTGGTAGGCCTTAACTTCTTATATATCCACCCTTTTTATTTATTGCATGGACACTCAGTGGGAGCCAGAGTTCTTTGCTCAGGCCATACTGATCCTGCCTCAGGAGGGCACAGGAACTGGACTGTGCCTGTCTGTCGTAGGTTGGTCTGTGAAACAAACTCTTACCCATCATTGACTACCAGCCCTCAAAGAACATCCATTCCTGAAGAGCTGCCTGGGCAGGGGTGGGAGGGCAGGGGTGGGTAGCCTTTTGAATTTCAGGTAGCCAGGCAGCATAACCTCCTGTGGAGGACTTTTAAAGGAATCCTAAGAGCCATTAACACCTGAAGAATTGCCTTAATTGCTGCCTGCTGCTGTCAAATATGCTGCAGAAGACTAAAGAGAATGAGGATTAACGATACCACCTGCCAATTAAGGCATATGTGAGCATCCAGGAGGAATCAATTAGCCATTTTATATTATGCCAAACTTTAAAAAGCAAAGAGTCAAAGGTCTTAATAAATCAATGTCTTTGGGGGGTGGCAATGAGAACAAGAAAGGGGAGTATATACATTGCCCATCGGGGTTATTTCCCCCTTCCTGGAAGCAGGCTGATCCAGGGCCGGGCACACATCTCTTAACAGGACTCATATTGGTGATGTGGCAGTCTCAGGAAATACAAGCATATCCTAGCCTACTGGTTAGTAAGGGCGCTGGCAGCTGCCATTGGAGGGAGGTGGGATCTCACCAGGGGCAGGTGTGTTCCTTGGCAGAAATGCACATTGCCTGTAGGCTGGGCTGAGCCCCTTGTCATCAAAACTGAGAAAGTTCATATGGGAAAGGACCTCTGTTAAGACAGATGATCTCTCCTAGCCTGTGGTGAAATGGTCCTAGCCAACAGTTCCTTAATAGCTCTGTTGGACCTCTCCACAATGGCTTGTCCCTATGGGGGCCGGTCTCATCCAAAGCACGGCACTGGCCTTTGTCCAACAACTCAGAATATCTTTTTTGACACAAACCTGCCTGCCTGCTGTGCAAAACATATAGCCAAAAAGAGGTGTGGTGTTCCCATTAACGTGTTATTGAGTCTTATCACACTCCCTACCAAAAACTCTAGCACCTGAGACACCAGCACCCGTTCATGAGTGGGACTACTTTGGATTGTCCAGTCCCACTCAGCCCTTTGGATGACTAGCATTCAGCTGACCACTGTTTCTCATTCTATCACGTGAAACTCAGGAGATCAAACTCAGGTTATCAGGCTTGTTAAAAAGTGTCTTTACCCACTGTGCCATCTCACAAGCCCCAAATCTTACTAAATCTTAATGTAGGTCCTACAACAATCCAATAGAAAAATATATACCTCCATAAGCCATAAGTATAATCAGATGAGTGTCATCTCCGTATTTCAAAGGTGCTAGAAATGCTTGGAATGTGCAGTCAGCAATCTCTTCCGATGGCCAGTCTGGAAAGCCCACTCCCAGTGACACACCTCCTCCAAGGCCACTCCTCCTAATAGTTCACAAACAGCTCCATCAACTGGGGACCAAATATTCATAGATATGAGCCTGTGGAGGCATTCCCATTCAAGCCACCTGTCCCCATCTTCCCAAGGGAGTCAGCCTTATGTAACATCTCCCCATCAGCTGCCTGACTTCATTCTGCTTCTGTCCATCCATTTTATTTTATTAAGATTTATTTATTTCATGTATGAGTGGTCTATCTGCATGTATCCCATGAGGCCAGAAGAGGGCATCAGAGCTCATTACCGATGAGCCACCATGTGGGTGCTGGGAATTGAACTCAGGATCTCTGGAAGAGCAGCCAGTGCTCTTAACCACTAAGTCATCTCTCCAGCCCCTTATTTTGTTTCCTAGGCAGAATCTAGGGCTGGCCTCAAACTTGTAGCAGTCCTCCTGCCTCATCTCCACAGTGCTAGGAATTTTTTTTTTTTTGTGAGAAAGGGTCTCTAACTATGTGTCCAAGGCTAGCCTGGAACTCATTATATATAGACTAGGTTGACCCAAACTTAACAGAGTCTACCTCTACCTTCAAGTACTGGAGTCTAATTCTTCATATATATCAAGGACACTGAAATAGAGGTTCTTTCCAATCATCCTTATGTTGGAAACTTATTTTTATAGTCATTTATATTCAATGTCAATAAAGTGAGGCAAAACATTTCTATTTACTTATACATACACACTCTACTGGAATATTTATCAAACCACTACTTTCTACATCATTTTCCTGCTATGTGAAAAATGTCCTTACCTCATAAGAGGGAAAAACTTATTTATAATGTAAGATATTTTGTGAGTAAAACTCAAACACAAGTGTGTGTGTGTGTTTAAAATAGCACTGCTTACTTTGCTATGGAAAGGCTGTCTTGAGGCCACGACATTAAAATAAGGAATAGGAATAAACCACGCAAGGAACCAATTCTAAAATGATCTCATTTTTAATTCTTGAAAGGCAAATTCAGAGCACACTCCAAGCAATGGTTTGAAAATGAATATGTCAAGAAAGAAAACAAAGTTTTAAATGATTATTTCAAGTGAGTTCTTTGGAATTTCTGTTCAGCCAATAATTAATCATCATTTAAATCTTTGTTGCAAAGCAGCAAAGTGGAACAAGCCACCTCATGTCACATTCTTCTGAAATGCAACTAAAAGCACTATAACAGAAACAAAAATAAATAGTCCTACAAAGAACATATTTGACGTTTTAAGATATTGTTAAAATCTTTCAAATATAAATTACGTTTTTAATCTTTATAACCAGACAGAGTTAGGCTGTTCATTGGATCCAGTCTGACTCCCCGGACCTGGGGTAATAGGGAAGCTAAAGCGAGAGCAAGCAACCAATGGCTTCCAGAACACTGCTCACTTTTTCAAAGCAGAAACTAGCCTGTGTAAAGACTGGTAAACAGAGGCCAAATGGATAAGTTGGTTGGGTAATTTGCTACTTGAATTGTTCTGGACAGAACTCAAGTTGTTTTGCCCTTATTTCACAGCTCCAATTACTTTGCTCTCTCTCTCTCTCTGAAAACAACTAGCAATCAATATGTGAACAATTTTAAGAAACGGCACACTGAAATTAGTTTCATTGCCTTCTTAATATGTGTCAAATACAATTCTTAAGTCTGTCCTTCCAGATAGTTTGCACTTTCTTTATAAATGTACATGAATTACATCCCAACCTAAATGAAGAAAACCCAAAAGTTAAATTTCAATATTTAATTAGTTAAGAAATCCTTCTACATTTATCTTTCAGAAAGCTGCCATTTTCCTGGGTATAAGATGGAAGTGCAGAATTCCATACATTTTCGTGATGTACCACTAGAAGGACATTGCTTGTATCTATGTCCACTGTCCGTCCTGAAACAAATCCCCACTTAAGGACAGGTGAGGAGGGCTAAATTAGAATGGTAACATTTGCAGAAAGATGCTACACAAGCAGGGGAGAGGAGCACGGTGCAGCAGCAAACCTCCCCTGTAAACGCCTCACAGCTCCCCACGCTCCAAACACTACCTACGCTTAAAAACCCTCAAGATGTTTCAGATCATGAGTTGTGTAAAATCCAAACTGGAACGAGACATTATACCTGTTAAAGAATTATCCTTTTTATGAGATGAGAGGTAGTGACATTTTATTCTTTCAATGCCGAGTTAAAAATTCCACACATCTGGCACGTGGGTTCCACGTGGGAAGCACAGGAGTGGCACTGTCCACTCCTGCTTTGGTATTTCAAGTCACCCACACTTGTTGGCTACCGGCAGCTGGCGATCACTGCTGTTGGCAGGGGCAGGCACTGGCGCTATTCTGCATCCAGCACAGGTGGACCTCCATCATCTTTCAGAAATGCAGCTGCTTTCCTCCCGTTCTTCTGCACATGATCTTCATTCATTTTCTCCAAAGCTTCTATCTACAGAACAATATATTAAATCCCTTTGTCAAGTTCTGATTGTATCGACTGATGTCGGGTATTTCCCGGCTTCTAACACTTGGCTGGTCTTTCCTGATGTGCTGGTCTTGAAAATTAGAATCTCTCTTCCTCTTACCTGCCTTCTTCCTCTCCCCACCCACGTTGCACATACGTGCGTGATATGTGTGCAAATATACCTATTTGCTTTTCATTTGATTATATTACTGAGGTTAGTACTGAGTATCTTTATGAAGCCAGAAACTAAACTCTGATCAGTCTTGCTATGTGCTGTAAAAAGCTTACATTTAAGAGTGTCAACACCAGCTAACTGAGCTACCAGATTTCTGCCACTTCCTACCTGGCCTTATGTTCTCCCAGAGCTTGGCCAAACTCAAGTCACACATGGGAATTCCAGCACAGACTAACCACTCTCTGCTTTGTGGGTAAAATGCTAGGAATAATGAGCTGCGAGCTGCGCCCTCTCTCTCTCTCTCTCTCTCTCTCTCTCTCTCTCTCTCTCTCTCTCTCTCTCTCTCTCTCTCACACACACACACACACACACACACTACATATATATGTTTTTAAAGAGAGCATCTCACTATGCAGCCTGGCTGGCAGGCCTGGAGTTCTCTATATAATACAGTCCAGGCTTTCTGCCTCTTTGTCCCTGTGGCTCTGGCACTACAATGAAGGCATGTCTGCATGTAGTTACTTCTAGTTTTCTAAGTTCTGCGAAGGGCAGGTACTCTTTTGATATCACACTGGGTGTTGACCAGTCATCATCCTCATTCTTCAAACTGGAGAAATGAGAGTAAGTTGGGAATGTGCTATTGCCCATCTTTTCTTTTTAGGCCCTTGGCATGGAACACACTATGTACTATGTAGGCCAAGCTGCCCTAAAACGCATAGAGCTCCTTCTGCTTCTGCTGGGATAAAAGATATGTACCACACCCAGCCTGTTGTTACCCATTTTAACCAAACTATGATGAACTCTGTGAAGACATGTGTGTTTGGGGTATGTTGGTGTGTGTGTGTGTGTGTGTGTGTGTGTGTAAGTTTTATGCCTGAAAAGAAAGAAACCATGTAGAGAGAAGGAAGAGCCAAGGTTTGGAGGAGAGTACTGAGCTCCTCTGGGCAGCTCTCCCCAGCAGCAGCAGACAAAAAGCTGTGTGCCAGCCACTCACCTCAGCTAAGAAATCAGCTTCGTTGTCTGCTGAGATGTTCAGGCCAGAAACAGCATTGAACAGCTCCCGCTCATTAAGGGCTTCCTTCACGCCTCCTTTCTGGAAAAACTAGCAATGATGCACACACAATCAGAAGGCCAGCAAAGACCTTACACAGCAGACACATAAGCTGCACTTCGGCCCTTCACCATTTGCAGCCATCGTGCGTTCCCCTCTCAAGGTTAACCAGCCCAGGCTCTACACGGTATTGTCTGTCTTCAGTAACTCTTCTGCTTCCTACTACGTCTTCTTCAGTTATGAACCTGTGCCCTGTGTACAATGGCTTTGGCACTCTTATGTGTGGAAAGATGCAATGCATTCACTAAACTCCCTGAATTACAATTTTAAGCAGGCCCACAGATTACCTACAGGTTATTCTTTCGCTTGCATCTGTTACTAGCAAATCCTTTCCCTTAGAAACGGAAACCACCAGGCTGGGCAGTGGTGGCACATGCCTTTAATCCCAGCAGCACTTGGGAGACAGAGGTAGGCAGATCTCAGTGGGTTCAAGGCCAGGCTCATCCACAGAGTGAATTCCAGAACAGGCTCCAAAGCTACAGAGAAACCCTGCCTCAAAACCAAACCAAACCAAACAAACAAACAAACAAACAAACAAACAAACAAAAAAAAAAAAAAGAAAGAAAGAAATGGGACCAGACTTTGTGCTTAAGGCATGAATTTCAAAATGTTTTCACTCTACTTCAGAGTGACAGTGAGCATAGGACAGACAGTGTCCCGTTGAGGAAGTCGGTCTCCTCCTCCTCAGAACAGTAATGAGAGGAGTAATGGTCCAGCTTTGGTGCAGCACTACACATGCATTAAGTCTACTTGCTCCTTAAATAGCAGGCGCCAAACCAAAAATTAATCTCTTAGAAATGGAGGCCACTTGAGTCCATGAATGAGTTCTGAAAATTCTCCTTTATCTCCTTACCCTAATAGTAGCCGACATCCCTCCCTTCAGTTCCCATAAATATGATTCTCTTAGAGGGGAGAAAAATATTTGAACCTGTTACATCCTTAGAAGACATTGCTTTGCACACTAACCTGTGAAACATTCCTACAGTCACGGAATAAGAACTCCAGGCCATGAGGATGGGTTGGTTCTACAGACTGACTGACATCAATCAACCAGACCTAGTTAACATAAAGCACAGACTGAGGTATTTACAGCCAATAATTTACACCAGGAAATGTAATCTGAATATTAACGGAAATATGTTACTTACCTTTCCAGAGTGCCACAACATGTTATACTCGCTGAGGTCAGCGTGCACAAGGGTACACTCATTGTATAATCGCTGCATCAACTGTGAGAAGGGAAATGAAGGCACAACTCTAATACATCTCTATTAAATAAACCAGATCACTAGTTAAAATGAATGTGTCAACAAATACAAGTTAAAAACCTATTTCATGGGTGACAGTGACACTTTTAATCCCAGCACTCAGGAGACAGAGGCAGGCAGATCTCTGAGTTCGAGGCCAGCCTGGTCTATAGAACTAGTTCCAGGACAGCTAAGGCTACACAAAGAAAAGCCTGTCTTGAAAGACAACACATCTTGTTCCTTCCTTTCTTATTTTTTGTTTTGGTCACACTAATGATTGACCTCAAAGACACATACACACATTCTACAGCTGAGTCACAGACTCATTCCCAAACCCTTATCTCCTCTCTCTTTTAGTCAATTAGGACTGCATTTCTGTTGTTGTATTAGTGGTGTTTGGGAGAATGAGGGAACAGCAGGATACTGTCACTGAATTCCTGTACGACATTCTACTTCCTTGCTGTGACCAGCAAGGAACCAGGCCAAGGCTCAGATTCCAATGGCATCTGTCATCTAACCAGGGGGACCAAGACAAGCCACTTCCTCTGTAAAAGGACAAGTGTTTCACTAAGACCTCCATGGAGGAGACACAATCCCAAGTAGAAAATACTTCCTGCCAGTGATGGTAGAAGACATGTTCTTGTTTGTGAGCCAGTGTCTTGGTATATAGCCTAGGATGGTCCTGAACTCATGAACTCATGCCACAGACTCCCAGAGGGTAGCACTAGCACATGTGGTTTCCAACCTTTTAAATTAAATAGCATCACAAATTCATCATCAATGATAACCCCTAACTTTATACCTGAAAACTTTGTTTGCTACCTCTCACAGACTCTATAAGAGAAGTTCATGACTTCACCTCTTCCCCAGCCTCCACACTGCCCAAAGCATCCAGAAAAGGGTTTCTTTTTTCTTTTTTTTGGTGTTCTCCTCTTGGCAGCGAAGTGTCTCTTATATTCGTGAATGTACATGTGGGGTGTGCAGGTACACGCATGTGGGGTTTGCAGGTGCACGCATGTGGAAGCCAGAGATGCGTGCCGGGTGTCCTTCCCCATTGCTCTCCACCTTAGTTCCTGAGACAGCGCCTCTCACTACCACAGATTCAGCTGGAGTAGCTGGCCAGCAAGCCCGGGGGCCCCCTGTTTCCCCTCAGGGCTGGGACTAAGGCACACACCCGGCTCTTACAGGGTACTAGGGGTGCAAACTCAGTCTTGGGCTTTGCACACAAGTATGCTGGCTTTGAGTCCACTTCCTCCCCTGAAAACCCTGCAGAGGGATCATGACAGCATCAGGGACATTTTCTTAAGCAGGAGGAGGCTTCAAACTTAATTTAGTTGTTGTCCCCAAACACACGTAACTGTCAAGATCCTGACATGGGCTCTCCAACCTTAGCACCTGGACCCCGCTGTCGCTCCCTACCTTCCTTAATGTCATCATCACTTTGCCACAATGACATCACTCTGCTTCCCTCTGCTTCCCAACCACAGCTGCAGGCCTGCCCTTCTCTTGCTCTTTCTTTGGTTTTTTGAGACAAGGTTTCTCTAGGTAGCCCTGGCTGTTCTGAAACCCTAGACCAGGCTGGCCTTGAATTCAGAGCTCTGCCTGCCCCCACCTGACAGGTAGTAAGCGCTGGGATTACAGGTGTGCACCACCATCACCTGGGCCCTTCCATTACTGCTAAAGAACCATAACCTTTAAGGAGTCAGACAAAGGGATTCCATCTGCTAAACTTGACTGAAGTGCTGCGAAAATGGTTTCATATTCTAAGTCAGTAATGCTAAGAATGAAGTGTGCCTTTGCTCCATAAATATTTTAGTTTCCTGAAACCATTCAACACACAAACAGATTGACAGGAAAACCACTCTTTCTGTTGAGATGGGGTCTCACTAAGGAGGTCAAGCTGGCCTTCAACTTGCAATCCTTCAGCCTTAGCTGCTCAAGTTGTGGGGTTACAGGCAGCTTTAATGTTTAAATAAAGATTATTTATGCTTACTCTGTGTGTATGTGTGAGTTCTTGCATGCATTGTATATGCATCAGATCCTCCAGAACTAGAATTACAGGCGGTTGTAAATCATCTGACATGGGTGCAGGGAACAGAACCTTATCCTCTGTAAGAGCAGCAACTCTGTTCTTAATCACTAAGTCATCACTCTAGCTGTCTTAATAAATAGTTTACTTGACTGAAGCTTAATATAGACAAGGCCAGCCTCCAACTTGTGACTATCTTCTTCTCTTTGCCTTCTCAAGTGCGCAGGTGTGTTCCATCATGCCTGTCCAAAAGACAACTTCAATATCAACAATCCTTCGCAAGATTCTGTTTATCCTTCTTATGCTACTTCAAAAGTATGATTCCATGATTTTTTTAAAAAAAAGTATCACCATTAGTAAGATAGGTTCTTGTGCTATGTTCCTCCAGGTTGGCCTTGAACAGCTGCACTTATGTGCCTCAGCCTCCCAAGTAGCTGGGACTACAGGCACACTCTAACCTGGGTAAAAGAAATGTATTTATGAGACAGTGTGTAGGAGCACAACTTACATGGAGGGTCTGACAGTAGGCGTCCTTCATTTCTTCACTACTAAGCTGTACTTCTTTTAGTTTAGGGGCTGGAACTTGATCATGGCCAATGAAAGACATAACTAAAATGTGCTTCTTAAGTAGCACAACTGTTGGACAAGGGATTCCAGCCTTCTGCATTCTGTATAGAAAGAAATGATCAGGAGTATAAAGATCAGAAGGAGAAAACATGCCACTAACTCAACAAATACCTAACGAGGGTCTGTGATGAGCTGCTACTATGTTCCACCCAGGAGGTACGGGAATGCAAAACCAGTAAGATACAGCCCCTAGTGGTAGGAACCCTGACAGGTGTAAGGGCATTGTGTAAAGATTGGCGTGGGTGTGGTGGGCGCCCTGCAAGCACTGAGATCCCTCAGAAAGACTGTCAGAGGTTGTCATATAGGATGGGACATCCTCACAGAGGACACCTTAGCTTCCCTTGAATGTCACTAAAGGAAAACGCCTCTTCAGTCACAACCTTTGAATTCTGGTTCAAAGCATGGGAATATTTTGTGACAAAAAGCCTTCTGAGCACAAGACAGTCAAGGTCTTTTGTTATTTCTGTAACGCTGCTTAAAAGATAGCATGGGGCTTGGTCTGCCTAAGTCCTGGTACAAAGGGCAATTCCTAAGGTCACCTGCCACACCACTGTTTTCTTTACCTTGTGAGATTGTGCATTTCTTTCTCTGCCCACATGCGGATGATCTTACGTGGATTTAGTTTACTGAAGCGGTCTTTAAACCTGAAATCATCTTTAATGTATTTGTCACGATTCTTAAACTCATTAAGGGTTGTTTTAAATACCTTGATGGCACATTCGGTTGGTATAGCTTTACCGTCTTCCCTGTGATCCTCCAGGCTGAAGGAAAAGAAGAACAAAGTGATTGAGTGAGTGAGTGAGCGGTTCCCAGGGAGACCATCTCTGACTCTACCCCAGTGAGACAGTCTCAGACTCCGCCCCAGTACACCCACCGCATTTCAAAGCGTCATCCTAGTTTGTCTTCTTTAAAAAACCTTCAAGTTTTGTATCTTAAGGGAGCTTGCTATGTTTCCTTGGATGGCCTGGAATTCCTAGAGCCAGCCACAGCTTTCCCAGGATCTGGAAGTACAGATACTGGTGCTCCTAGCTGGTGGGTTTTTTTTGTTTTGTTTTGTTTTGGTTTGGTTTTTTTGTTGTTTTGTTTTGTTTTTTTAAGTAAAACATCCTGTCAGAAGACTTTTCATCAATCTACAATATAATGTTCTGTATTTCATCGCTATAGAATCAATTTTGACAAATGGAAAAACACACATCTTAAAACAAACTACTATGAACTCAACAAAATCAACACATAGAGTAGTCTTTCTTAGCAGATGTGTAAGGACCCTGGCCTGTGAGTATGCAGACAGGGAGACAACAGAAGCCCCAGAGAAGCAGACAAGGCCGCTGGTGAGGGCACTGCAAACAGCCACATTTAAACAGTATTAACAAGACACGGGAGCTGCCTGAGGAACCCAGACAAACAGCCACATTTAAACAGTATTAACAAGACACGGGAGCTGCCTGAGGAACCCAGACAAACAGCCACATTTAAACAGCATTAACAAGACACGGGAGCTGTCTGAGGAACCCAGACAAACAGCCACATTTAAACAGCATTAACAAGACACGGGAGCTGTCTGAGGAACCCAGACACTGCAGTTAATCTTGGCTAGAGAGAGGACAAGGGGACTGCACAGAGCTTGGACATCTCTGCAAAGCCAGCAGGGATCATGAGGGCTTGTGAACAAGGTACTCTCAAGGACACACTTCATGCAGATCAAGTGACCAGAGTGAAGGGAGGCAGAGGCTGGGCTAAGAGGGAAGTAAGGAGGTGAGCTAACCCATAGCACTACTGACTTCCAAATACTTGCAGGCACACTAAGCTGAAGAGAAAGGGAATGCTTCCGGAGGACAGAACTGAGGATTAAAGCAGCAACCTCTCTCTGTATTACACTCTAATGGTTACTTCTCCATTCAGCCTCAAGGTCAGCAGAGCCCTTTAGCAAACACTATGAACCTCTTCCTCCTGTAACATGCCAAACCCAAAGCCTGTCCTCTATGGAATGGCAGGCCCCTTTATCCGACCCATACTTGGTTTGCCTGGATGTCTAGCAGGTGTCTTCAATTTTCCATGCCCAGAACAAACCCGGATGGCAGCTGCCTAGATCTACTTTCTCCTAGGGTCTCACCCCACATCCAATTGAACAGAAGACTGTTGGCTGTACTTTCCAAACATAGATTACTATTCTTTGTTGTTGTTTTGACAGGGTCTCTCTGTGTAACTCTGCCAGTCCTGGAACTTATTCTGTAGACCAGGCTGGCCTCAAACTCAGAGATCTGCCTGCTTCTGAGTGCTAGGATGGTGTGTGCCACCAATGCCTGGCTAGATTCCTATTCTTTACTTCCATTACCACTGGTTTATTTACACTGCTATGACATCTTTTCTAGGGCATTAGGGATTGAAGCCAGGACTCTCCATGCTACGTAAGTACTGAACTACATTCACAGCCAAGACTTTTTAAATTACCATTCGTTTTCCTTCTAGCAGCCCAAGTTGTCTTTTGAAAATAAAAATCCCACCTCTGGTTCCCACTGTGCAGATCCCTTCCAGGTATGCAGCCCCTTCCTGTCCCAGCCCCTGCTGCTTCCAGGCCTCCTCTTTGTAGTCTGCCAAGCGGTTCAACCTGATCTTCCATGTATACAGGGTATGTCCTCAAGTCACTTCATCAGACGCCCCTGTTCTATTCATCAAAACCATGACATTTCCCCGCTTAAATGCTGGACAGCACATATCGGATGTGTCTATGTATTAAGACCTTGAGTGCAGGTTGGTGTTAGAGCAGGGACTTCCAGAACCCAGGACCCAGTCCATGGAAGCTGCTTAAGTATTGGCAAGTGGATGAGGCAGTTTTCAGAAAGAGACTGGAGACTGTACACAGAAATGTCCCCAATATCCTAAATTATTAGACAGAATAGGCTAAACCTGACATGAGCTTCCTGTCATTGGATGTATTCCACAGATATACAGAGTCCCATTTAAACATCTCATCATTCTCCTAGCAAAACACTCCATGTACCTTAGACAAATTGCATATCCCTCTGCTAATCTTCTGAAACAGGGACTCAGATAGTCCAGGCTTGTCCCACACTTACTGTGTAGCTGAGGATGAGCTTGAAATCCTGTCTGAGATTATGTATGTACCACATGCCCAGCCCCCTTTTCTCCCCAGAACAAGGGCTTACTGTTGGTCCAGTGGACTCTAAACTCCTAAGAAGCTGGGACTACCTATGTGCACCCTGTCTGGCTTCCTTTGCCCAGCTTCAGGCCCTTCTTAACTACATCTATTGTGTTTAGACCACACTATATTCTGTACCTCTACCATTTACTGTCAGGTAAAAATATACATTTGGTAATTAGCACAAAATTATAGGCAGAGCTGAAGCCTGTACTACAAGCCTGAGGCAGCCTCCCTCCTGCCCTAGCTCTCCCAATACTGTCACAGTTCTGACTAATCTTGGCTGTCAACTAGAAAACATTGGGAATCAATTAAATCCCCAGCAACTTACACACTATCAAAGATTTTCTTGAGAGGTGGGAGGATCCACCCCAAATCTGGACCACACCTTCTGGTGGCAGCCCACAGAAAAGGACAAGGGAGGCCTTCTTGCCCTCACTCTCCTGGCAAGTTCATCGACCTGCTGCTGAGCACCGGTCAGTAGTGTTAGAACCTACTTCTTCATGACCCCAGTGCAGACTGAAGACCAGCTGCTCTCTAGGAATTCCCAGGGACTCCAGCACCAGACTGCGGACAGCTAAGACATCCAGTCTCCTGGACTGAACAACTGACAGGTCCTTGGCCTTTCTATCAGGAGACATCCATTGTTGGGCTAACAGACCACAGCCTGTAAGCCACTCATGTACATGCGCATGTGTGTGTATAATTCTATCATTATCTGTTCCTTTAAAGAAACCTGACTAATACATATACAGAAATATCTATATAGACAAGCCACTGCAGATGATGTATGTGCTATGTACTTCTTCAACTAACTTTTAGCTGTCAACATTGGGTTTTTGCTTATTTTTAAAATGTGATTGGAAATCTAACTTCATCATGATGCCTTCCCTGAATGTGTCTGGCAATGACCTTGCTATATGTCTCTTCCTAACCTACTGTGGCCTTATAGAACTACATGCTTTGTCATATAATTATCTTTCACTGGTCGTAACTATTCTTACTGGAGTGACTTCCTCCTGTTATGGAGAGTCTGACTGTTGTAACATACTAGGAAATAAGTATTTTCCTTTCATGTACATGTTGTGTGAGTGCGGGTCAGTAGACAACCCCTGGGTGTTGGTCCTTGCCTTCTACCTGGGGGCACAGACTCGTTAAGCGTCCGTGTAAGCCAGGTTGCTGACCTGTGAGCTTCTAGGAGTCCCGTCTCCACCCCATTCTACCCTAGGAGTACAGGGAGCTCCAGTCCTCACCCCTGCAAGACACAGCACAGCAAGCGCTTTACCTCTGAACCAACTCTCTGACCCTAAGAAATATATTGTTTAACTTTTAATTAAAACTTTCATATATTAAAAAAAATCAAAAGGGAAGAATCATGAAATCCCCCCCAAAAAAGCCTGATGTACTAGCAAGCTCAGGATTGAAACGGGAGGAAACCCAGCTCTCCATTTCGCGAAGCCTTCCACTATTTAACAAAAAGGAAAAACAAGGCATACAGTACTTCCACAGCAATTTCATTAGGAATTTAGCTAAAGGGCATGGCTATAAAATACATCAAAGTTCAAGGGTCTCCCTAAATACTTCCACACTGTCATTTAAAACAGCACGGTCTGGGGACGGGGAGGTGGGGGGGGGGGGAGGGAGGCGCGGCTGAAGTCAAGAGTACATTCTGAGCTTCCAGCTCCAGGACTGGGATTTGGTTCCTAGCACTGATGTCACACAGCTCACAGCCACTTTAACTCCAGCTCCAGGGAATCCAATGCCTCCTGGCCTACTACCGTCACTGGAGTGTACACACATACACATAAATAAAAAAAAGTCTAAAAGGTATAGTGTAGTCCACAAAAGTACTGTCTACTAATACCTAAAAGTCAAAGGTATGTAACTGGGGGAGAAGATCACATAAACAAATGCATACAAACTTCTGAAAGATTGAACTAAAAATTATAAAGGAAGAAATAAATGTTTAAGATTAATAAAAGGAATTATAAAATAAGATCTCACTGAGCCCCACAAAAATCCCATGAGGTGCAGGGCAGTTTCCAAGTGAGGTTTTATTATAATTTGTTCCGGGTCATAAGTACAAAAGTGTAAACCCCTTCCCATACTGCCTTTCTTTTTCTTTTCTTCTTTCTTTCTTTCTTTCTTTCTTTCTTTCTTTCTTTCTTTCTTTTTTTTTTTTGGTTCTGAAGATTGAACCCAGGGCCTTATGTATGCTAAGCATGAGCTCTACCAATGAGCTACATCCCCAGACCCAACACTGCTTTCTATTCTCTTCCTTGTTAGAACTTAACAATCCAGTTTAATATGTTTGTGTGTTACGGGTCTGTGTGTAAAGGTAAATAGTTAAGAAAACTAAAGGCAAAGGCTTAACCAATAGGCACTTGAATTCTTTTAAGTACAAAATAAACAAATAAAAAGTAATGTTCAAACTTTCTACAATAATGACTCTTCTTGCTATGCAGCATAAGTTTGAAGATATGAAATCCATCAGTCCTGAGGAGAAAGGTGTTTGTTCATTTACCTCCCTCCATACGCATGAAAGACAACAGATTCCTTTCCTGTACTAATACAGCCAGTGATTGTCTCCAACATTCCAGAGTTGACCATTTTATACATAAGTAAGCGTGTCTTAGGATCAACTGCTTTTTCCTGTAAGAGATAAAGTACCGTAAGTGGCAATGGTCATCAGAAAAGATTCTCTTTTGAAGCCAGGCTCTTAGGAGAGCATGGTCACAATACAGTTCTTTCCCCAGGGGCCACTGGGTTTCAATTCCAGTGTCATGAGGCCCAGGAGCTGGGTTTGCTGACTGACAGTCCCAAGTCTGGACCACAGAGTCACTGCTTCCGTGGCAGACAACCTGGGGTCAGAGCTTCTTGAGGAATAGCCCCAAAGAGATGTTAAGTGCTGGCAGTAACCACAGTAACCCATTTTCAAAGGTCAGGAGCCAGTGAGGGACAAACCCCAAGATGGTAGAGCATGGAGCCCGAGGGATGGAGTGTTTGAAGTGACTCGGGCTCAGTTCACTCCCTGGCAGGGCCCACATAACTGCTCTGGAAGCATCTGAAGATGATGAACACTCATCAGCTGCCTCCACACTGAGCTCCAGGGAGAAAGCCGCTCATTCTCCTGCAATGCACCATAGCCTCCACTTGCAGAGGGGGAGATGCTCTGGTACATCAGACTGCTTCCCCAAAGGACATCTGTTCCCACCAAGGGCTTCTCCTTCCTTCTCACCAAGGGCACTCCTGGCTTCCTAGCTGTCTCCCCACTTTGTGGAAGACGATGTGGGTCTGGAAAGCAGTCTCTTTAAGGAAAACCAAACCTTGAGTCCTGCTGGGACCACACATTTACACTCATCCACTCTTCCCCCTCCTAGAGGACTAGAGGAGTATGTGTGTGTGTGTGTGTGTGTGTGTGTGTGGGTCATATTACCTTCCATCCCCTTCCTAGTGCATCAATGTGCTCCTCCCCAGCCCCCACACTACTGCCAGCAAACATGGATCAGGGCAGGTAACTGGTACAATTGAGATGCCAGGCAGGTGTGTATAAATTTAATATATACACAAAATCCCTCCCTTCCCCAATCCCTGACCTTTCTTGGTTCCCCGGTAGCATCTTTATCTAGCTAGGTATCATCCACTGAGGACTCAGTGTCTTTTATGAAGGTAGAACTCATACAATACCTACAGAGTATATTGAGACTATGATACAATTTCTCCATTCTAGTCCTGATCCAGTTATCAAACTTGTAACATCTTACCCTGTGTACCCTGAGCCTTTAAGGGGGATTTTTTGGCTAGAACTTCCACATTCTGTCCTTAGAAAATAAACTGGAAGTTAAAACACATCAAAACCCAAACACTGGTTTAATCGCATGCCTGAGGCATCCCCTCAAGCTGGTTACAAGCAGTTGTCAGCTGCCTGGTGGGGTGCTGAGCCATCTTCAGCTCTTTCAGTTTTTTAAAGGGTTTAGCAAATTCACTTGTTAAAACAGTACAATTATCTTCATTGATATAAAAGACTAGTGTTTTAAAGAATCTAGTAATTTTGTTATTTCCAAAATAGGTATTATCTTTTTAAATGTAAAACATTAGAGACCATTAAGTACAAGTAGTTACAAGTGTCAATGTAATATGCGATTTTTTCTTTCTTTTTTTTTTTAAAAATCTGGAACATCTGAGCTGGAGAAATGTCTCAGCAGTTAAGAGCACTGACTGCTCTTCTAAAGGACCTGGGTTTAATTCCCAGCACCCACATGTCAATTCACAAGTGTCTAACTCCAGTCCCAGGGAATCCAAGGGCACCAGGCACCCACATGGTAAAGACACACATGCAGACAAAACACCCATACACATAAAACAAAATTGATCCTTAAAAATCTGCAATATTCAACTATTGTCACTAAACATTTTTGCATTAGCCCAGAGAACTACTATAACTATACTTTTCTTTTTCTTTTTTAAGGCAGTCTCACTTATCTAAGCTGGCCAGGAAATGACTGTGACACCCACGATAGCCTCAAACCCACGGCAATGAATACTCCTGTGTTAGCTTCCAACTCCAAAGCTCTGGGATTATAGACACGAGCCACCTCAGGTCACTTTGAACTCCCTCACCAGACTAGTCCTGGGCAGGCCTGAATGGCTTCCCCAGTTACTAACATACTAGCAGGGTTAACCTCATACAGGTCCTCATACACACTCTAAAACTTGTGGGAGCACATCAAGTCCAGGGCCACCAACTGTTTCTGCTAAGCTCCTCGGGTTCCTCAAGGGTCTCGGTAAATGATGGCTCAACAGTACTACCTCCCCTGAAGTCTCATGGGACAGCATGGCCAGTGTGTGCCTGACAGGGGAGTTGGAAGCCACACCACCAGCTACAGTGGTTGCCACCTGGGCCATCACGCCTGGTCCCTGGGTACAATAAGTGAGCCAGCAATAGATGAAGGCACCCCTGGAGGCTGAGCTATGGCTGCTGCTGTGGGCACTGCTCTCCTGAGGGTCATACAAGAGTGGCTTCACCTTCTATGCCAAATCCAATCCTAAGTGCTTGGCAGCGCTGTTTCTAGAAACTTAAAACTCCATAATATGGGTTTTAAATAACTGATTAACTAAATTATGTTAAGTAAAATATGCCAAAAAGCAAAAGTCATTTGAGTAGCATTGATTTGAAAAGATAGTTTCAGGGGTGGAGGGGAAAGAAGTCATGAAATTTTGTCTTATTCTTTTCCCTTCAAACATTAGTTTCTAACATGAATTTCTCCATCAAAGTGAGCGAGGTGCTAAGAATGCTTACAGCGGTAGAATGTTCCTTCTTCTCGTGGAGACGGGCACTTCGACGCTCTTCCGAGTAGGCATGTTGTTTTAAGGCATTGAAAACATGGTTGGATAGTTTTAAATCCATTCCAATTCCATCCCCTACCTGAAAGCCAGGTGCAAACTGACAAAGACAAAAACATCAGCAGTTAAATGTTTTCATATGGGAATGGTGTTGCACACATCGAGAAGTCAGTCTTGTAGATGTCCTGCTCAATAGATGAACTTGTGCAGAAACAGACCCTGTCACAAAGAGGAGCAACACCCAAAGAAACTGCAGCCCAAAGGAAGGTGTAGTCTTCTATGCAGAGAAAACACCTTACCCCATTACAGTGAATGTCTCTCAGCATTTGTTTTGTATCTTGTTTTATGCCAAAGAACAATGTTATATTGGGAAGCCTTATGGAAGAGATATAATTTCATAATTATTTTTGAAGAGTAAGTTGCTACAGCAAACTATACCAATCACCTCCATGACAATTATAGAGATGCACAGTCCATTTAGATAGCTACTAGCCACTGTGTAGATATTTAAATTTGAGTTAATTAAAATTCAGTTTCTTAGTTGCACCAAGTGCTTAATAGCAAATACAGCTATCATATCAGAAGACAGAGACAGGCAAAGTTCTGCTGAACAGCACATTCCAAAGTCACACAATATTACAACCCAACCATCCTGAAAACATGGCCACAAGATACAACCCAACCACCCTGAAAACATCTCCAACACAACCATACTGAATAAGATATTCACTTATCAAATACTTGTGCACTAAGGTCTGCATGTTTCTTACTGGCCACAGCATTTATAAAAGAAAATACTTTTTAAAAAGATTTATTTGGGACTGAAGAAATGGCTTCCCAATTAAGAACACTTGCTGTTCTTCCAGAGGACCCGAGTCAGTTCCCAGCACATGTCTACAGGTTCACAACAACCTGTAACTCCAGCTCCAGGGGATCTAGCACCCTTCTGTGGCCTCCACAGACACCTGGACATCTCTACACGACCCCCACCACCACGCCCGCCCTCGACATACAAGCACACACACCACTAATAAAAAACAAAAGAAAAACTTTAAAAGCTGTGTGTGTGTGTGCTTGTTTTGCTGGAGCTGGAGTTTACATAGAGATGGTTGTGAGCAACCGATGGGTGCTAGGAATCAAACTCAGACCCTCTGGAAGAACAAGTGCTCTTAACCACTGAGAAACATATTTTTTTTAAGTGGTAATTTATTTTTAACTCTGGAGAAGTAGTTCTAAAAGCGTGGTGCTGGGTGGGAGTGGAGCTCCGTGGCTTGCCCAGCATGTACAAGACACTACAGCTGAGCACCAGTACCACAAAGCCAAAAAGTCTAAAAAGTACACAAATTTCTTCTCTTTCTAGTTCTTGTTCCATTACCATTGCTATGCTCTATAGAAGTGCTATTTTATAAAAAAAAAAAAAAAAAAATAATGAACTAAGGATTAAGATTCATTCATTCATTGGTTTATTCTTTTTTTTAAAGACAGGGTCTACTTTAGTCCTGGCTAGCCTTGAAATCACTGTGTAGCCAAGGATGACCTTTAATTCCTTATCCCCTTCCGCTATCTCCCAAGTGCTAGATTACAAGCATGTGCCACTGTGCTCAGCTTTACTTCTTAATCTTAGAGTCTTATAAATCAAGTAAGATTTGAGGCATCCTCATAGGTTTTACTCTACAGGACTCTATTCTCTGAGTGGCTGAGTTTCTGAGTTATGCCATCCTCTAGAGCGTCTCTGCAGCCTGGTATGGGGACACCGGCACAGAGGTGGCAGGTGGGTCATGAGCTTCAGACTCATATAAAGTAGATTTTTAGACATTTACTGTACAGTATCCAGAATGCTGTTGGTTTGTTTGCTTTTGTGTTTGAAGAGAGGGTCTCAGAAAGTATCCCTCAGAAAGTATGGCCTGCAGCTCACTATGTAGACCATACATCTCTGCCTCCCATGTGTTGGGATTAAAGGCATGCTTCACCATACCTGGACTAGAATGCTGTTTGGAGAATATATTTAATACTTTCTGTAACTTACATTTTCCATTCTTGCTGTGTTCTTTCTCCCACAGACTATTTCATCATGCTTAGTGGTGATGTCTTTCCCTTTTCCAATAAAGCCCTTTTTTGGAGTAGGAATTGGCTTTGCTAAAGGCAATTAAGAAAAGCCAAGAATATAAAAACAGCAAAGAGCACTATCTGGAGAGATACTTGAACCTAACTGAGTGAATTATCAAATGAGGTCAAATCTAAGCACAAAACTAAACAAGTTCATTGGGACAATTATCTTCTTCTGCCCTCCCCCTGCACCCCAGAAATAGAAAGCACCTGGTCTGTAGGGGTCACCTTCCTCTGCCCTCCCCCTGCACCCCAGAAATGGAAAGCACCTGGTCTGTAGGGGTCACCTTCCTCTGCCCTCCCCCTGCACCCCAGAAATGGAAAGCACCTGGTCTGTAGGGGTCACCTTCCTCTGCCCTCCCCCTGCACCCCAGAAATGGAAAGCACCTGGTCTGTAGGGGTCATCACGAGTGTCCTGCCAGTCAACCTCATCTTCAGAGCTGTCACTGTCTTCAAAAGGATGCACTTTGCGATAGTTTTCAAATGAGATGCAAACTAAAAAGGTAAAAATAGTTGACTGTTTATTTGGGAGTGTGTACAGGCATTTCCTACCACCCAACAGAAACGTCACAATAAGGTCAGGTACCTTTGCTATCACCATTGAACTTTTTTTCTTCACGCCTAAGCTGTGCATCATATTCTCTGTCAAATTCCATCTGTAGCATCTGAGCCAGCATTAGGTCACTGGAAGTGTCAATGTTTTCTCCAGAAATGAATGGTCCTTCAGCAACACTATTCAAAATAAGATGATATAAGCTGACGTGATGTGCTGTGCAAACAGCTACTGACCGTGAGAGTAGGCATGCTAAAATCTCAGTGAAGAAGAGGTGGGAGTCTATTTACCATCTCGTTTCCTCAGCCAGCCTCAGACCCACCCATGGCAACTCAGAGAGCCCCAGTGAGGTGTGACAGATGAGAGAAAAAAACGTAAGCGCTATGGAATTATGGGAAATCCATACTGAGACCCAGAATGCTTTTTTCATCTACTTTTCAAAGTAGAGAGAAAACTAATGAAGGGACAAACAACAGACACTAGAAAACTACACCTAACAGTTCAACTGTTGCAGTAACAGGAATAAAACCCACAGAAACAGCGGTTTGTCTAAAATCATGCAAACTCAGACTCTCTATCTGAATTGTTCGGGACCAAAAGTACTAAGGACTTTGAGGTCTTCAGATTTTGCAATGATTTACGCAGACTCAGCTAAGTCCTCCTGATTGAAGAATTCTAGTCTGAAATTTCCTGAGCACTTTTTGACGTGTTCAAATTTGTAGGGACACTCAAGTCTGTGCTGAGTCAGGGATGGAGCTCAGGGCAGGGATTGTTCTTGTGCACTCCGTCATTTCTAACACTGTGCCCGGCAGATGGCGACGCTCTGTTAAAGCAAACGCTCAGCGACACGTACACAACTTCAGGAAAAGCGGCTGCTTCTTCTTCTAACTGCAGCTCTTTGGCCAACTCTTCACTCATCACCTCGGTCAATGAGCAGGATGCTGTGTTTTGAGGGGTAGCCCATGGGCACTAATGAAGCAAAAGAGAAAAAACTTTATGACAATGATTTAAAAACTCAAAAGTGAGGTTATCTTTTGAGAATTAAACTACTTAAAATGACCAAACAGAATAATTAGCTATTTACAAAACTCATCTTAAAAGGAAGCATCTCTCAGAAGTTTTTTTTTTTTTTTTTAAATTACATTTTCACTTATTTACTCTTGTGTACAAGCACAATGCCAGAGGTCAAAGGACAACTTGTGGGAGTTGATTCTTTCCTTCTATCATGTGAGTCCCAGGGACTGGCTGAACTCTGTCAGATAGCAGCAGGTGCCATGTGGTCAGCCCCCAACTCAAATCCTATTGGGTTAACTGTAAACTTAGCCAGACACACCTGGCTTGTTTGGCAGGCCTGTTCTAAAGGCTGAAAAATGTAATGGGCTGTTATACAGCATCCCACTAAGCAAGGAGCTCTCAGCTCAGGAAATTCTTCCTTCCTTCCTTCCTTCCTTTCGGTTTTTCAAGACAGGGCTTCTCTGTGTTTCTGGAACCTGTTCTTGTAGACCAGGAATTAGTTCTTATAGATCAAGCTGGTCTCAAAACCACAGAAATCTACCTACCTCTGCCTCCCAAGTGCTGGGGTTAAAGGCGTGTGCCACTACTGCCCAGCTTCAGAAAGGTGTTTGATAAGAATTTCCTGAAGCTGGGCGTTGGTGGTTACTAGTTACTTTTACTGCCTTGGTATAAAGTATGAACTCACTCCTTAATGAGTGTCTACGTTAGGGTTAACAGTGACACCTCTATCAGCCACACAACTTTCTAACCAAGGTGAAGAGGTGAAGGTACACGTCATGGTGTCTGAGACAAATGAGCAAGAACCACCCACATGTGGGCTCCAGAGCACTAAAGGGGGTCAGAACTGACTTGGGTGGGCTGCCTGGGTGGAGCCTGGGGACGGTCAACAATGACAACTACCTCATGCCCAAGGGAGCTGACCCCAGCCATCGAGGAGGCAGTCCATCCTCTTAGAAGGCCCACCAAGAGAGAGCAGAGACTCCCTGCAGGTTGACTGAAGCTCTCAATCATGTGTAGAACATGGCTTTCGTTGGCATTCTATTCTTTAACCTAGAAATGCTTAGTCTGGCACAGAAGCAATGGCTCAGGGGAGGGGGTGGGGTAAGATCACTGGCTGCTCTTCCCGAGGACCTAGGTTCAATTCCCAGCACCCACATGCCAATTCACAATTGTCTGTAACTTTAGTCCTGGGGGGGATATGACACCTTCATACAGATATACATGCAGATAGAACACCAATGCACATCGAATAAAAATAAAGAAATTCTCAACCTGATCAGTTTCAGTCTCCCAAAGCAGATGACTGTTTCCCCCCAGTCATGATTCTTACCACATTGGACACTGACTAACAGAAAGCAGTTAGCACCTCCTGCCCCTTTTCTTTTGAAATGGGGGGACTGAATCTAAGGTCTCACCATTCCAGGCAATTACTCTAGCACGAGCTACATTCCCAGCCCAATGGATAACATTTCCCTACATTTAGTATTATTCACTTAGCTAACTAAGAATATAACCTAGGTGATTTAAATCACGCCACCCTGGACGAGTCTTACTCAGTACCTTTGGCTCCCACCAGCATGTCTCACCCCGCCCCCACCCTAACCCTCTCCAGCCCAGGGCCTGGGCCCTTCCCCCAGTTTCTGCCTCCACATAACCAGCGCTCTTGGCCTCATGGTCTTTGCCTTCTCTTGATCTGTTTGTCCTGTCGTCCATTCTCTTGCTCCTTTCTCTTCTCCTCCCAAGCACCTCCTCTCACGGCCCCTTTCAGTCTGGACCCTTCCAGATGCCGCTGGCTGTACTCTCCCTTATTTCTATAATAAAGCCCTTCTGCTCAACATGGAGCATCATGTCCTTATTTTCATTCGGGTCTCTCTATTTTGTGACTCTGGCTATCCTGAAACTCCCCGTGTAGACCAGGCTCTTCTTTCAAGTGCTAGGATTAAAGGTGCGAGCTGTAGACTACCCCAGAAACACCATCTGCATTTTAAAGGCTTAGAAACTGAACTGCAGAATCACCCCGGAAGTTTATCACCAGCCAGGACAGAGCTAAAGCCCCTTGAGGGGCGGAGCCCTCTCAACCCGAGGATGCAGCACTGAACTTCAGACAGAAAACATTCAAGTGCGCATTGAATGATACTTGCCACAGGAAACAACGAAAAGATAACCAAGTGTAGTCAGTCCAAAGCTGCAGAGGCCTTGGCCTTTCCTCACCTCCAATGATCTCCTCCATCCTGCACACCTATTTCTGAGGCTCATGGTCTACTGTCACCTGCCACCACATTCTAAAAGACCTTAAATATAAACTATTAGCTGACAAACATCTCCCAAGAGTCAACAATGTCAGATGTAATTTTGTTACTTTGAGGTGGCCATTTCTCTATTCCCCAAAACACGAACCACAGATATAACAGCACACTGGAACTGTGCCCTCTCAAAGGCACGGATAAAGCAGCGCATGGGGCTGCCCACTCACAATGATCCTGTCCTTTGGAATCTTACACTTCCCCTATCTCTGCCAAGCAGTTCAACTAGGCACCTCACACTGAGGCAACCTCCTCAGGTTAGGTAAGTCACATTTCAGACTCCCACAGTTTGAAATATAATCAAAACATTTAAAAGTAGCTAGTAAAATCCTTCCATAAAATTATTCTGGGCTCTGTGAGGGACAGCTTTGGGAAAGGGAACACTCCATCCTGCTGAAAGGGGCTTCTCCTATGAACTGGCACTGGGGATAAGTAGTGGAGAGTCTGCTGTTAATTTCTTGTGAGTCTACACATGGTAAATCAAACTCTTTACTGAGTAGTTAAGAGGTACTGGGCCAGTGATGGCTCAGCTGATAGACAAGAACAAGCATGAGAACCTAAATTCAACCCCTAGAACTCCCACAAAGATGGAAGAATCACAAAACTGTCTTCTTATTCCCACATACAAATCATGGCACGCATGCACTGCTCCAAATGCACCCATAATACACACACTGATAGTAATGGTTTTAAAATGTTAAAGTAACAGTAGCCTAAAGCAACAGGAGTCTGGGACACACCCCTCACCAGTCCCTCTTACAGTTCTGCTCATCAGTGCACTGACTCCCAACACAGAGCTCACCCGAGAAACAGTACATAGCCATTTCTGAGTGTCTAAGTCAGTTGTGACCATCAATAGAATCAGATTAAGAAATGCCTAGACTCAAATCTAGGTGTGTCTGTGATTAAGAAATGCCTAGATTCAAATCTCTAGGTGTGTCTGTGAGGAGCCTTCCAGGGACAATTACATCATATGGGTTCTTCCTTTCTGCTCTCCACCCTGGTCTCTGGCCAGCTCTGATTTCCACGACATGCTATGGACCCAGAAACACAACCAAGTGGCCACGGTCTGAACCCTCTGAAACCATGAGCCAAAACCTTTCACCTTCTAATTTGTTCTCTCAGGAATTTTGTCTCCAGCTACGTAAACCTAACCAAGACTGTACTGATAACCCCATAGCCAGCTCCTAACCTCCCCACTGAGACTCTTCCCACCCTCTAGTCCAGCAGCCACCCAGCACTGCAGACTGCCCTTCACTGTCTCTGGGTAGCTGAGGCCTGGAGTGGACTCAGCCTCCTTTCCTTCTCCTAATGGTGACTCTCCCTGACTGCTCAACCCAACTGACAGACTTCAGCCCTCCACTTCAAGCAAGAAAATTACAACCCACAGGAAGATCACTTTCAAACACCATAACCCAGGACACATGTTTGATTCAAACATCTGGGAAAAGTGATCTGGGTGTTTCCTGTGGGTCACAATTAATATAACCTTTTTTGAAGACAGAGTATATAGCCAACGGTTACTGTCTTGAAACTTCCCCTCCCACCTGCCACCCCCCCCACCCCCCCTCCCGCCTCAGCTTCTATACAGGTGGACACCATCAGGCACAGCTAGTGAACCAGCATCATTTTGTTTGAAACAGGATCTCACTAGGTCGCCCAGGCTGGCTTTCAACTCCTCATTTTCTTGCACTTAGCCTTAGGACTACAGGCACACAACACAATGCCTGGCAATCTGTCAGTGACAACTAAAGTCTATACTTAATTATTAATACTTCCTTAGTTTCCCCTAGTGCCTTTTTTCTCCTATAGACAGACACCCAGGACACCATGTTAGACTTGTCATGTTTCCTGAAGCTCCTCTGGGTTTCTACTATAGATAGACACGCAGGACACCATGTTAGACTTGTCATGTTTCCTGAAGCTCCTCTGGGTTTCTACTATAGATAGACACGCAGGACACCACGTTAAGACTTGTCATGTTTCCTGAAGCTCCTCTGGGTTTCTACTATAGATAGACACGCAGGACACCATGTTAGACTTGTCATGTTTCCTGAAGCTCCTCTGGGTTTTCTACTATAGACAGACAACCAGGACACCATGTTAGACTTGTCATGTTTCCTGAAGCTTCCCTGTCTTTTCTACTGTAGATAGACAGCCAGGACACCATGTTAGACTTGTCATGTTTCCCGAAGCTCCTCTGGCTTCCTTTTGTGGGGCCCCCCCGCCCTGCTGTCCGCTCCTCTGGGTTTCTACTATAGACAGACACCCAGGACACCACGTTAAGACTTGTCATGTTTCCTGAAGCTTCCCTGGGTTTTCTACTGTAGATAGACAGCCAGGACACCATGTTAGACTTGTCATGTTTCCCGAAGCTCCTCTGGGTTTCTACTATAGATAGTCACCCAGGACACCACGTTAAGACTTGTCATGTTTCCTGAAGCTCCTCTGGGTTTTCTACTGTAGATAGACAGCCAGGACACCATGTTAGACTTGTCATGTTTCCTGAAGCTCCCCTGGGTTTTCAGTTTCTCAGACTCAGTGGTGACCATGGAAGTTCCACAGACTCGTTTCTACAACTCCCTGTAAGAGCTACATACTTCCTCACTTCTGCCTCTCATTTGACAGCACCCCTCCACCCTTCTTGGGCTACGGCCTACAACTTTTTTGTCTGTAAAGCAGTGTGGTATTCTGTTACTGGTACCTGGGAGAACAGGTCAGTGGGGACCTATCAGAAGAACTGTGAGGTCAAAACTTTCTCAACATTACTAAGATATGCTTTTTCTTTGTAATTCTCATTCAACTATAATAGAGTGTTTAGAGTCTACATAAGAACTGATAGCATTGCTCTGCTGGCTCACTGAAGGTATGCTTGTACATTCACATTTTTCAAAATTTTCTAAGGTAGCAAATCAAGGATATAAATGTCCATCTTTAACAGTTAGAGGCTAACTCCATTTTATTTCTCTCTACTGTGTTCTATTGTCCATCTTCAATTATATTTGCTACAACTATGTATCTGTGGAATAGATTTTCCTGTATATTTCAATCCAAAAACATAAAACAAATAAATAAAAGAAGGAAGTACCTCCTATTAAAGTAAACATCACTGGTTTTCTAAAATGTAAAACAAAACTGGGTGGCAGTGGCCCATGCCTTCAATCCCAGAACCTGGGAAACAAGGTAGGAAACGCTCAAGGCCAGCCTGGTCAACAGAGCAAGTTCCAGGACAGCCAAGGCAGAGAAACTCTGTCTCAAAACAAAAACAAACAAACAGAGATAAAACAATACTATTTTCAAGCCTCTTCCTCCTTAGGCATTCGCTCACTCTGGTTTTCCACGTTAGAAAAGGAAACCGTTAAGTGATGCTGGTTTTGGTAATCCGTCTACCCAACAAGCTACCAGTCAACTGCAAGAACACATTTTTTTGTCAAATAATGAAAATGGGATTTTATAGTTCTGGTGATATACACTTATATGAGAAGGTGATGGGCATCATTTATCCAGCATTACTTATTTAGGAAATAGAACATTTGAGAGGGCACAATGTTTTCACTGAACTTTTCCTACAACCTCTGTGGGTGTTTAACTGGGGGAAATTGAAAAAAATCTGGCCTGTATTTTTATTGTCAATGTCTGATGCTATCCTTTTATGTCTGTTAATCCTGACCTCATCAACAAGATCAGAGTCTCACACAAATGGGTAAAATGTCATGGAGATGCAACCACATTTACAATGGAACACTTGACTCTTCCTACAGGTTTATAAACTTATAAAATGAACTTTGTAAGAACTTAACAGTTGAGCAGGGGGTTGAGCCAGTGCTACACAGAGGAAACCCTATCTCGAAAAAACAAAAAACCAAACTCTTAACACATAATTACTCTTCTGTAAAAAGTATGCTTCAACAAGATTAGTACGTCAATTAACAACTATTATGAGGTTTAAAAGGCTGGGCCCTCTTCAGGACCTTACAGCTGAGGGATGCAAACCCCAAATGAAACAGGATTGCTCACACACGTGTCTGCAGTCTTTTCCTCCTAAGCAATGAAGCACCCAGGAGCTTTCCATCCTAGCCGATGTAATACGAAAAAAAGGGACAGGCTCGAAATCAGACGTGAACAGAAAAGAACCTTTGTCTGCCGTTCGAGCGGTATGGGGGAGCCACCCCTGTGGCAGATCAAGAATTCATAACCATTTTACAGTGCTACTGCCCGCTTTGGTAGTAGCAGTGGGTGGAGGCGGGAAGGCACGCCTAGATGTTTACCTTTACCATTTCAAAAACAAGAAACTGCCGAACTGGGCTAACAAGCCAATTCTCTGTGTTAGCTGCTTTCTCGGCGTAGGGCTGACGCACCGGGCACCTGGGCAGGGGACGAGCCTCGGCGCCGGGCCGGCAGGGGCCCGCCCCGAGGCTGGCCGAGTCGCCTGTCCCGGCTCCGGAGACGAGCGTCCCGCGGGAGCGCCCGCGGCGACCACCGCTCACCTTACTGGCTCCCCAGGCCGATGCGGGGCCGGGCTCAGGGGTTGACACTCCGACCAGATCCATTCCGGGAGGAAGGCAGGGGCGAGAACGCAGCCGAGAGATGACAGACCGAGGAGCGGGCTCTGCCGAGGGCCCTGGCGGGGCACCAGCAACGCGCTGCCGGGGCCGGAGTGCGGTGACAGATGGCGGCGGCGGAGGCCGCCTCCGGAACTGGGCCGCTTCTCTTCCGCCCTCTACGCGGGGGCCCTCGCTTCTTATTGGCCGCTCGTCCGTACTTCCGGTCCCTGCCCTCGGGCCGTGGGGGTTCAAAGGTCGCTGGCCAGGGGTTGTTGACTGGATCCTGGAAGGCGGGGCTCGGAGCGGGCGCTCCCGGGGCGGGCACCGCCTCCCGGCCCCTTCGTCCCAGTCACCGAATCTCAGGAATGGCTGTCCCGGCTCATTCTTGATTTCCCGGGGTAGTTCGAAACTGGAAGGGATTCGGGGCCCGTAAGTGGCATGTCGAAGTTGGGAAAAGAAATTCTTACAGACACTTAGGGGCAGGTGTGGCATGAGAAAAATTACTAATGTGTGGTGTAACGCTGAGCAAAAAAAATAACACGGCACAACAAAATTTGTGGTTCTCAGTTTTGTCGAGGAATTCATAAAGTGTCTGGGTAAGCATGTCCAAGCACTAGGCAGCGTTTTAATCCCAAAATGATCTTGAGGAGAAGATTCTAGCCTTACCTCATCTTTACTGAAAATGGCACATAGAAATAAAGTAACTCAGTGGATTAGCGAGGGCAGCCTAGACTTGCCTTGACACATCTTTTAAAATGTGTCAAGTCATCTGTGTGATTTCAAGTCTCAGGAGCTGTTGCACGTTTCTTTCAGATGACGTTGCATATTCCAACGCTGATCTTTTATTTCCAAGACTTTGGTTTTGGATTGGGCGCAGAGGCTGGCAGTGTGCTATGCAGTATATTCTCAAATTAGAGGAAAGTACGGGGATGTGGAAGTAAGATTGTGGCCGAGATGCTTACAATACCAGGGTGAAGTGTCAGGGTATTGAATGGGGGATCCAGACGGACCCAGCAATCACTCAGCAAGATGACTGTGCTTGGAGAAAGGTGGAAGAATGTGAAGTTGCCACAGTCTTCAGAAAACATTCAGGTTGCATCCTTGAGGCTAGTAGGTGGTATGATCAGGGAGCTTAGAGCTCTCAGGAACCTGATGGCCAAGGACGGGCAGTAGTGCAGCTGCAGGCTTTGAGATACTCTGAAGAGTGTGAAGGACCTTACCCCTTTCTCTGCTCCAGATATTAGTGAGAAGTCAATCTTAGAGGACATTCAGAATTACTTCAGGCATGGAGATAGGCAAGTTAAGCCGTAGGGACAGGGAGAGTTGATTCATTATAAATGGGATTCCCATTGGCCACAGGTGTGTGGGCTAACCCACATTATGCCTGTGTATAAATAGTTAAAGTATTTGCCTGATGCTGCCAATTACATACTCCTAAAAGGTCAGGCAGATACTTAAATATATGTACACATTTTGGTCAGATGGTCTAGTACAAGCCTTTAGTCCCAGCACTCCAGAAGCAGATGAGTTGGAAGCCATATCAAGCTTCAGGCCAGTGAAGGCTACTCAGTGAGACCCTGTCTTAGATAGATAGATAGATAGATAGATAGATAGATAGATAGATAGATAGATATTTACAAATTTGAATAGAGTATGCATTGCTTCCATACACCACTTAGTCTTGGAAACATGACTAGAGTGGCCAGGGAACAAAGAAAAGACAGACAGACAAACACAATGTCCAGAAAGCTGGGGTCAAGTAGGCTGCTTAGCTCTGACAGTGTGCATCTACTACGCAGAACGCTCACATGTGCCAAAGCAGACCTGTGGGCCAGGGTTGGTGGCAGGTGCCTTTACCTGCTGATTCATCTCAAGGACTCTTGGTCATTAATATATATTAGTCTCAAAGGTCTAAGGAAGTAGTTGATTTTCCCATGTGTGCAGAAGGCCAACCTCACACATAATAGCTTATTGTTTGATTGTGCTTTTCTGTAGTCTTACCTGTGTTTGCTTTGTGGAGCAGAATAATAGAGCTTTAGAAAGGTCAGCAGCCCTAGCAAGACCTATTGGCATATTTGCCACTAGTGTCTATTTTGATTTGTATGGTTCTTTATTCTCATAGTTTCTACTTGTTAAGCCAATTCTGGAAAGGAAAATAGGCTAAATAACTAGGAAATAGTGAGAGATCAATTGAATCTGTCCATTTACCAAAACAATCCAGTAAAGGGAAATCTCAATACATGTCAACCATTAACTTCAATCAAGTTCTGTTAAACAAGAATGTCTTTGTAAGGATTATTCAGCTCTGAAATATATTTCCTACAATAACTTTCAGGAAAAATAATTTTGTTTGTTTATTTGACTACAGATGATACATGTAAACTTTGCTTGGATAATATACTTTGACAGTTTAACTTAGAGATTACAGGTCATTAATTCTTTGTGTGTGGTGGGGGGTGGTCAGGGGAGCTCAGCTCCACTCCTGCCTCTGTGTGTGTGTGTGTGTGTGTGTGTGTTATGTTAGTGAGAGGGCCTCTATCTATCCTCCTTCATCTTCCACCTTGTTTAAGACAAGACAGGGTCTCTTGCTTGCAGGCTAGCCAGCCGTGAGCTTCTGAGTGCTGGGACTACAGACATGTGCTACAGAATCATGCTTTGCTTTTCATGGCTTGTGGGGACCTTAATGAGATCCTCACATCTTCACAGCAGGCTCTGCCCACAGAGCCATCTCACCATCCCACAATTCTTTATCTGTTGTCTGTACACTTTCCAAACCATTTCACAAACCGTTGACAGATGCAGAGAGGTCAGCTCATTGGATGCTGTGTTTATTTTAAGATAGACATGTGTCCTGAGGCATGGTCTGATTTTGAAGAAGCACGGGATTATTGTTTGTTAAATGGAGAACGAGAGAAGGTCTCCACTTTGAAGTGAGTGAGCACATTTACAGCTCTGGTCACTGCTGACCCCAACAGTCTAATGGGGACCTGAGCAGTCTAGATTGTAGAGAGGAGGAAGAAACTAGGATCTTGGTTGGTGTGGTGGTTAGTGTGTGTGTGTGTGTGTGTGTGTGTGTGTGTGTGTGTGTGTGTGTGGCTCTCTCCTTCCATCTTTATGTGAGTTTCAGGGATTGAACTCAGGTTGTCAGGCTTATGAAGAAATGCCTTTACAAATACCTGCTGAGTCACCCTTGCTGGCAATGTAATAGTTCACTTGACTGTCAACTTGATGGGCAAAGTACACTCCCGAATATTCTGTGATGTGTTCCTAGAGAAGATCTGCTAAGGGGGGGGGGGGCAGGTAGCATTAGTCACAGGGGTGTGGCTGGAGAGCAATGGAGGGAAGTAGGGAGGCTGCCTGGCAGGGACACTGTCACACCCTCTCACCCAGTAAGGACTGAGCCCAAATCAGTCTTTCTTGAGTTGCTTTTGCAGAGATTTGTTGCAGAGATGGAAAAGGCAGCTGACATAGTTGGTGGCTGTAGAGTTTATCATACACACTAGTAAGTCTGTGGGAGGGCAAGACCGTCTGCAACCAACTCAGATGTGTAGCAGGTCTCTCTTCAGACCACCAGCTCCTGGATAATGACTCGGAGACTTTTTCCATTTGGTTTTTCAAGACAAGGTTTCTCTGTGTAGCCCTGGCTGTCCTGGAACTTGCTCTTGTAGACCAGGCTGGCTTTGAACTCACAGAGGTCTGCCTGCCTCTGCATCACAAATGCTGGGATTAAAGGTGTGAGCCACCACTGTCTGGCTGACACAGAGACTTCTCATTATGAAAGCTTGGTCTAAGCGTAGGCTTTTTCCCAACTAGCTCTTAAAATTTAAAATAATTCATTTATATTATGTTTTGCTCTGTGACTCATTACCTCCCCTTAGAACTATATGTCTGACTTCCTCCATGTCTGTCTGGTGAATCTCCCAAGCCTCAGATTCTTCCCAGAGTTCCTATCGCTCCTTGTATTTCAATAAAGCTTTAGGGGGTCCTCGTGTGTGGCGCCATGGCCGACTCCATGGCAGGCAAGGGTGACCCAGGCTGAGGGACAAACACACCAGGCAGACAGAGTTAAAGTGAGAAGTTTTATTAGAAAGGGGCGGGGGAGGAAAGAAAAGACATGTAAAGAGACACAGAGACAGAGGATAGAAGAGGGAGACAGGAAAAGTCCTGTCTGCCCCAGGGGAACAGCAGGAAGAGAGCTGCAAAGGAGCAGAAAGAGAAGAGAGAGAAGAACCAGAAGAGCCAGAAAGAGAGCATGAGTGGGCAGGGTCTGTCTTTTAAAGGGGTCCTTTGCACCTGTGTGCAGACTAGTACTCATGGAACCTGTGCTGACCAGAGTACTGCCTGACTGCATTCTGCCAGGTGACAAGGACAGGCCAGCATAATGCCTGAATCCTTACACCTTAGAAGTCCCACCTATTCTGTCCTGCTTAGCTATTGGCTAGTCAGCTCTTTATTAAACCAATCAGAAGGTGCCTTAGGCAGGTGAGGAGGGACAGAGACACACCTTCACAAAGGGTACAAAAAAGATTATCCCAGGCATGGAAGTATTTAAATGAAGCAGGAGTCTGTCAACATTATAGTTCCCAGTGGCATATTGTCCCCAATATCCATGTTAAATATCTGGATCAGACTGTACTTGAGCTTGAGTGATTCTAGACTTTTCTTTTACTTTTCTGTTTTTCCTCTGGGTCTCTGCAAACACCAGGGCCAGCACAGTAATGATCTGTGTAAAGCCAGAAGGAAATCCAGTTCAACTTGACTCAATAGCTGGTGCTGTTTGGAAAAGAGTTTCTTGGTGTAACACACCCTATGTGCACAATAAAGCTTTAAGCATAATTACATTGAAATTCATTTCAAAGTACATGTCACCTCTCCCATAAAGATAGGCTCTATAAATAGACTATATGTGTCATCCTGAGGGCCTGAGAAGGATCTGGTGTGGTTTCCATCATACAGATAGCACAAAGAGCACTCGGCTATTAAATCACCCCTGGTCCTGTTTGTAAAAGTTTGTGGGAAACCAGGCATAGCCTGGCCATACAGATAATGCAGAGGTCACCGGGCTATTAGCTACATCCATTGCCAGCTGTAGTAGTTTGAATGTAATTGACCCCCATAATCTCAGGGGGGTGGCACTATTAGGATTTGTAGCTTTGTCAC